CTGCTTCCTTCCGGTCCAGTCATGGTAGGTCTCACATTTTTCTTTGCTGTCCCACATGCCTTCCTGATGAGCAACTTAGATGACGAGTCTGATTTGGATTTTCCAATGCGGATACAAACTTTTTATACCATTCATGCAACGACTGAATTGGCTTCATTACACTACGTTTTGACTTGATGAGCATGTACATCGCTGACCGTCTCTAAGATCACAGTTTTACTCTGACATGGCTTGACCTGTTGTCCAAAAACGCACCATCACATGGCTCAAGTGGTAAGCTCCTACCTGTCCCTTCACCCCTCCAGCCACCCACGGCTCCGTTCTTCTGATGAACGATAAACCAAAGACAAGCATATGTCAGAGCCTAACGGCGAAGCTGAGACACGTTGACTACCAGTCATTCTGATCGAACACTTCACATTTGCACTCTTTCTGAGAAATACTTGTGAATACAGTTGGCTAACATTCGCCTTCTAGAGCCATGTGGAGTACATCCTTTTTCACCTTTTCCCCGCCGACGGCCTTGCATCAAATGGTAAGCTCCTTTTTCATCTGTCGTCTTCTACCTCTGCCCACTCTCCCGCGTCTACGTGATGATCATAATATATATCACGACGGTCTCCTGAGCCATATGCTTTGATGATACTGCCTTTGACAAGGCCCCATACTGATTTTTGACGCTTCACACATTGTTTGATTTACGAGTCGTGGTGTATTGCAAACAGTGGCTAACTGAAGTTGTCAGATTCCCTCATGGTTATATCTTGATCAATGATGCCAGCCAAGGTAGGTCTATGCCGTGCATGTTTTTATACACATATCCTTAATACAAGATACCCATCATTCTTCACTCCCGTGCTCTACTGCTACAATGTGATTTGCCTATCGATTTCACCATCCTTTGCAATCTTGGAACTGCACGAGGTTTGTCGTGTTGATCATTAGTGCTTCACGGTCACGATGCCAGGATGTGCTCCTGGCCGGAAGGACTTATGTCGAGTCGTTTATGGGACGGATTTCTGCGTCCGTGACCTATGTCCACCCGTAACGATCGGTATTCTTTCCTCGCATGCCTGCTCAGCAAGGGTGCGAGTAAACACACTCCAATATCATTGCCAAGACGCATGTCTACTGCTTTGTATTCCAACTATCATTAAAGGGGTATCATTAAGTCTTCAACCAACACAAATCAAAAACACATCCAGCACATATCTGCAGTGCTTCTCTCCTTTTCTTCGGTCCCTTCCATGTTTTCATCCTTCACATCCAAAATGCCCAGAAACGCCCAACCAAGATGATTCTCGAGGCCGTCCACATGCTCTCTAGTGCCCAACCGAGGATGCAAGTATAATGCTTTGCCACGTAGACGATGCTCCAAAGCTTTATGATGACTTTCCAATCAACCACTTCCCATCGCACCAAACATAAACATGCTAATCGAAAGTGCAAAAAATGCCACAATAGGCATCATTGGTGCCTGGACCGTCATACTGCCGCTTGTTGGCGTGGACGTCGCCGTGAATAATCCCGTAAGGACCGTAGATGATGTGGATGCGGCAGGCTGCGTAGAAGTCGGAGCCTTGGTGGCCAAAGGCCAGTCACTTGAAGCACTGTAAAGTACGCCGTTGATGACTGTCCCCTCGCCGCGCTGGAGCATGCTGATCTGCTCGTCGCTGCATGAGGCTTGCATGTAGCGCAGCCAGCAGGTGGCAGCAGGCGAGTCTGGGAGCTTATCTGTGTGCGTGGCGTGGGCATCGCCAGAGGTATTGTAGTTGGCCAGATTGACCTGATCGCCCGTCGAGATGGACGTGCCCATGATGACACGCGCAAAGACTTGGAACGCGGTTTCCGGCTGGTAGGCTGGCACCGAGTGGCCGGCCTGGTAGATGCGGCTGAAGGATAGGTTTCCAAACTGCCTCACGACGCCGCCGATGTACGAGTTGTTGACAATGATAGGCGCATAACCGGCGGCGCTGAAGTTGCGTCCGTATACGGTGCTAGCTTGCCAAGCGAGAGTCGTCGACGCGGCCTCCCCACCCAGCCAGTTGCAGATGTAGTCACGATCACCGTAGATCAGAGCGACGCGGATACCGCGCTGCAAGAGACCGGCCAATTTCGGGATCAAGGGTCCTCTCATGTAGTCGCCCGTGCCAGAAAAGGCGGACATGACAGCCTGACTCGTCATCGTGAAGTTGACGACGGAGCCAATGGATTGCTGAAAGCCCGCAGTGTTGACATACTCGAGATACGTATTGGGCGGAAACGAGTCCGGGTTCTTGCGCGCAATGTCGTACCAGCTGCGGCCCGACTCGGAGTACGGCATCATGACATTCTCGTTGCAGGTCTGATAGGCCCTGGAACACAGGGTGTTTACTGTATCCACCCCGCCGGTGTTGTTGGCGTCGTAGACGGACTCGGCGGTGCGACATTGTTTGATCAAGTCCAGGCAGCCGCCCGAGGTGTACAAGCTGCCGTTGGCCAGGCTTGCGCGGACGTCGTTCATCGCTTTGAAACCGTACGTGTTGTTGGTAGCCATGGCGGGGTAGAATTCCGCCTGAACCTGATCGTCGATGCAGCCGTTAACAATGCCTAGGGACGTGAGGTGGACTTCGAGTGTGTTGTTGGCCGACAGCGTCCCGTTCTGCCGTCTCTCATTTTGCTTCTCCCACACATCAGAGAAAACAGGCCCGTACTTTCCGCCATAACTCTCGGCGAAAAGATTGATGCCTAAAGAGCTGTTGTTTGGAGGGTTGTACTGGGGAAATGCGCCCAAGAAGCCCTGAAGCATGTGCCATATCGCATACGCAGCCGTCTCGGTGGTATTTGCCGTGTTGTTGGAGTTCAGCGAGCTAAAGGTGCCGTTAAGAAACGTTGCAGGGGGCTGTCCATTGGGGACCGGCTGAGGCGGACTCGACTGATTCGCGTTGAACAGATCCATGGAGCCATTGGTGGCAATGTCATACGAGAAGCCAACTTGGTTCGGCTGGGGAGTGTTAGCATGTTGCCAACTAGTACTTGCCGGACCAGAAGATGCCAGAAACTTACCTGGTCGATGAAGAGCATGTTGGAAGCGCGGTCCCATCCCCATTCTCGCGCCACAGTGTCGTACTGGTTCAGGCCCTTCTCAATAACCTCGCAAGGACCGACCTCGGTGAACATGCCAAAGAGAGAGCTGACACCGGGGCCGCCGTTGAGCCAGATAGTCATGGCCTCTGTGGGTTCGCGGGCGCCGATGAACCAGAAGAACATGTTTGCTGGGTAAGGGCCGGGGACGTTGATCCATCCTGTGTATTGTTGCTGGGTATCGTAGGCGGTCTTGCAGACACCCTTGGGCGTTTTGTAGCGAATGGTGACATTTCCGTCTACGGGCGAAGTGATCGTGGTGAGGTTGACCGAGGTGGAAGGGAATTGAGCATTGGCGAAGGCGGAGAGCAGGCCGGCAAGGGCGAGGACGGAGTGAAAGAGACGCATGGTGAGATGTCCCGCATCGTGTCCTCGGCGCATACTCGCGCTCAGGGCGATTGTCGTCGGTCCGGAGCAGAGACGATGCGCGGGTGCCAATATTTGTGTCGAGTCGAGGCGATTCGAATCGATGATGTTAGCGAGAGTGACGCAACACGAGCGAGTTTGGTGTGGTGTTGTGTGGTGTTCGGTTGTGGAATGCAACAAGTGCGATGGAAGTGAGGGAGGAATGTTGTCGGTTTTGAAGGTCCCCAGTGCTCCGTCGGATAGCGGCTTGGCAGACGTGCCCCTGCATTTAGCGCCAATGTTTGGTGTCAACGGGCGCCCACAGGCCTTACGGGGCCCCGAACGCCTGCCCCATTGCCCGTGGGTTACCTAATTTAACATCAAGCCCACTCCACTGTCCAGACGAGCAGGGCGTCCAGGCCCTGCTGCAAAGGTATCATAGTGCTCTGCGAACTTTGGGAAGTACCTACACGTACAGGCAGGGAACCTGGAACACGCGGCCCGCGGGGAGTTTTCCAGGTTCCATTGCTGGCGGGATCGCCCAGCGGCCGGGGTCTAGGGCTGACGGGACCAAGGTTCCTCCTTCTCACATCTTCCACCTTCATCTCCATCTCAATAACCTGTAAGAACTGCAAGCAGTCAGCACGGCATCACGAACAACACACCCAGGTGCAGCCCAGGCGGTCTCTCATAATGCCGTGTTACCCGCAGTGGTTCACGCCTTGTTGTTGGCTCGTTCGTCCCAATTCATCGTGTCTAAGAGCTGACAGCTGGACAGCCTGATGATTACCTTAGTACACAGACAAACTCAGCTCTGCTCAAGATGCCCTGAACTCAACTAAAAGAGACGGTCAGTCAAACGAAATGAACATCTCGGCGCATCATCTCTAGACGTTCTGCTAGCCGAGAAAGCTCTCGACTCGTAGAGTCATCACTCATGTGCTTCGAGGTCAGCAACCTGCATGAGCTCATGCAAGCAAGGTACTTGCATCCTTCGGCATTTCGCTCACCTGTGCTCGGCCGGATTCGGGAAGCCTTGAGAAAATCAGTCCTTCTGAGATTCTACGAATCAGAGTCATTTGTTTGCTGCACTCTGTCAACCAACGAACATCACTACTCAGCTTTCTACTATTATTTCAGTCCCATGTTGTCACAGCCTTCATCAGACGAGCTATACGATGTGGCTCTCATAAAGAAACCCCAAGCCCCAAGTCTCCGGCACTTGTAGACAATGGCTGCGTGGACGACAGGCACACGGCACGACTTAGGACTAAACAGGCAAGGTTGGTGATTAGCCATCGCCAACAACTTCCCAAAACCATGCGGCTGAAGGCTGTCGGTAAGGGGTAGTTCCCAATGGCTTTATTCACAGAGACACCATAGCATCATCCCCTTTACAAAAAGATATTCACGTTTGTAGTGTTTGACAAGGCAGCCATTGCTTGCCTTCATATCTCAATTGTATTGAGATATCTTTTCGTTCTGTCTCATAGTCCAAAGGCTTCAGAATACGGGGTTTCCTCCTCAAGGCAATGTCCTCCGACTCGGGTACAACACCTACAGACATCATCACCTATATTGGTGTTCCTCTAGCCGTGCTCGGTGTCCTTCCAATCCTCTACAACACCATTGCGACACTTGCCGCGCGATCTCGAATCAGGCGCATGCTCCGTCATGCCCGCCTAACAGCTCTCACTCGCTCCGACGTCGTGAATCGCGTCATCGAGGTCGACCTCCCCCGCTACGCTGTCACGCCCTGGGACCGCTTCGATCACCGCGACGAGTACTGGTCCCTCGCCCGCCACCCTTCCTCCATCCCGGGCGGCACTTGGACGACCTTCAACTGGCGCACCAACACCATCGGCCTCAAGACGCAGAGGGTCGAGTACGCAGACCAGCTGCGGCAACCGCAGGTCGATGTCACTTTTGACGAGCTGATCAGCTACCTCCTGGATCTTGGCGCCGTGCCCGATGCTCACGGATGGAGGCTGCTCAGAAGCACAGGGCTGTGGACTCCCGTCGGCTGTACCCTGATGCAGAGTCCTGATGGACAGCATAATGCCCTCACCATTGCGCCTCTGAACGACTCTGACGGTCATCTTTCGCTGTCTGTAAATTGGTCCTCACACTGGACCACGAGGAGCCATGAATCTCTGCCCCCGTACTGGGTCCGGCTCGTACCCCTCCCTAGTCCAGCAGCCACGACCATTGAGCAGGATCATGAGAAGAGTGACAACGACGACGTCAACGCAGAACCAGAAACGAACAGCGGAAGCATCAAGAAGAAGACGATATCCCCGTCATCCTCCGTCGCCAGCATATCTCGCGCCACAAAATCCAACGCCCAAAACCCAATCGCCTGCAAAATCTCCTCCCACGGCCTCATAAGCGCCATCCCAGAAGACGCCGACCACCCCTCGACGAGCCTCTACATCGAGCACGTCCGCATCCGGCCAGGCCACACGGCCGGCACGTGGTTCGCCAGCGCCGCCACGGCCTACGGCACCTCGAGCGCGACTATCCTGTGGAACTACCGCATCCCGGACGACGTCCTCGCCTTTGCGCGGGGCTCCTCCGTCCCCTGCGGCGTGCTCGAGGTCCTGGGCGTCGTCGACGGAACCCAGACGCCCGAGTGGGCGAGCTCGCACAACGACACGCGGGACAACCTCGATCTCTTGCACCGGCGGATGCGGGATCAGATGAATGCCATCGCGGCTGAGCAGCAGATGGATCCGGTGCGGAGGGAGCAGGCTGTACGGGAGCGCATGCGCAAGGAGTCTGATCAGCACATGGACGACGGTAGGCTTTCCCGTTTCCTCCCATCTACCTTACGGAAAGGTACTGGACTAACATCGAAAACCCGCAGTACGAGACAGAATGCGCCTCGACGCCCGGCGCCGCGAAACCCGCGCCCACGAAGCAATCCAATCCCCCAAATGGGACGCCGCCCTCGTGGCAACACACACCCTCCCCTGGCTCCAACAACAAGGCCACTTACCAACAGACGACATCATTACCCTCCGCTCCGTCGCCGCGGGCGTCTTGCACCGCATGCTCCTCGACGGCGCCTTCACCTCAGCCCTCTGCGCCACCCTCGACGCGTGGAAGGCCTGGGCCGACAACGGCGGGATGCGCAAGTCGGACCTCGAGGCGCTGAGAGAGGGACCGAAGGCGCTTGAGATGTTTGCGCTCGCGAGTGTGTTAGTTGCTGTTATTCGTGACGTCGGCGGTGCGGCGGAGGGGTCGGTAAGTGGGGATTTGCAGGAGTGCTTGAGGATGTGGCGACAGGTTAGGTTGGGATGAGGGATGGATGAACAGAGAGAGGTAGGGGACATCTGATGGATCTGTCATTAATCACCATGAAATCAACCTCTGATTAATACAAAGAGAAATGCAAAAAGAGTTCACCACCGGTGTGGCTACATCTCTTGGTGCTCATGCTGGGATTCGAACTCGGGTACTCTCGCTAAGCCTGTTGTCGAGTAGGCTGGTTGGTGTAGATTATTGATTGTTGACCATGAACCACTCCACCACCTAGCCAGTTTGACCTGACCCGTCGACCTAGACGGGCGCCGTCTGGCTAGTGACTGGAACGGGGTTGAGGGGGTATATATAGGCTTCGGCAGTGGTGTGTTGTCGTATATAAGATGAATACGTTGACGGGATCGCGTCCCTAGTTATTATAGAGGTACTTCTTTAATCCGTATCTTCTAAGCAAGCCCAAAGCCGTATTCGAATAAGTATACGTTCCTAACGTTATAAAAAGGCTAGAGAGAAGGTAATAAAGAAAGAGGAGGAGGAGGAAGAGAAGGAGGAAGAGAAAGAGAACGAGGAAAATAAAGACGCGGAGGAAGCTAAGGAGGAGGACGAGGAGGACGATAGTGAGGATCAAAGAGAAGACGAGGGGGATGGGGAGTTGCTTTTGGGATCTAAGGGCCTTTTCGTAACTTAAACACCTCTTACATCCGGCTATATCAACTATAACACCTCCCCCTCCCCCTAATACTCTTACTATAACTATAACAATAACAGTAGACCTGTTCTGAAGATATTAACCCAGATGTCCGTAACCTCGTAGAATACGGTATCTATAGCCCTAGTGTTAACCCTCGGCGCGCCCGCTTTCACTGTGCCAACTCCGGAAGCTTTTACTACAGTTCGCTAGCAGGTTTACTAATAGAAAAGCGAGTAATCCTTTTCGATCTCGGTTGGACTCTGGCAGCAAGGCAAGGTAATCATGTAAGAGGAACTCATGGAGTAGTAGTTCAGAGATTGATTCGAGCAAAACGTCAAGCGGGTTCAATTCTACCACTAATAGCGAAGCAATAATCATGTTCTCGATAATAACCGTTGCATACCTGCCTAGCCCAGCCACTGTGTCCATTCTTTGTTGCCCATTTCCCAAACCCTTGTGAGCCGGCCGAGGCCAATCCAAACTCCAACGCTTGAAAATAATAATACCAATAACATCGCCAACACCCCCCCTCCAATTACAATCGAGTAGCAAACACCTCAAAAGGCAAATCGAAACCGAGCTCCTACAGCTCATCATCCTGATCTGAATCAAACACAATGATATCGTCCTCGTCACCGCCGTCATCACGTAGCAGACTTTCAGGCAGCATCTGGCTCTTGGACAGCAATTGCGAGGAATCCATCTGGAACGTCCCCGGCGGCAGGTGGACGGGACTATCGTCCTCGTCCTCGTCGTCCACAAAGATGGGCAGGCTCGAGTTGTTGTTCGAGCGCGTCGGCCGCCGCGGCGCAGACCTGAACTTAACGGGCGACTGGGAGGGGCTCGACGCCTGACTTGCCGTCGTCGCCTGCGAGGGCCGGACCGCCCGCCGCGGCGTTGGATTGGGCGGGCGGCTGAGGGGCGTCGGGGGCAGAGCTGGCTTGGTGAATTGGGGAAGCTCTGTGCCGAACTTTCGAGCGCCGCGACCGCCGCGGTTCCTGGTTGGGGTCTGGCTTGACGGTACCAGCAGGTCGGCGTCGGAGGAGTGGTGCTGGGTGGAGTGCTCAATGTCGCTTCGGAGTTGCTCGGCGAGCTCCTGGGAGACCGTCTGCTCCTCTGAAGGACCTCCGGCTGCCGGCAAAAACTCCCTCCTGCCGATCTCGGGTTCCGACACGATATCATCTTCCTCTTCTCCGTCTTTACCGACAACACAGCAACGCAGGTTGGCCATCAACTGTCCGACGACGGCGGGCGGCACGTAGTTGTACTTTTGCGGTGGTCCGTGAAGCCAATCCAGGTCCATCATTTCCCGTAAAGACATTGGATCATTTAGCTGGAAGACCTTCTTTAGATGATACGCAAACTTGGAACCATTGTTCTGATTGAACTCCGCGTTGCCGACCCCGTCCTCATCAATCTCACCAGGCGATTTGGCCTCACTGAAGCAGGCCATGTACCGCAGTTCCGCAACAGGCTTCGTGACGTAAAGCCACATGCGGGTGACAGTGTGGGGGATTCTGTAATTGCGGAATTCGTGGTTCTTCTCGCCGGCAACAATAGCCTCCATGTGCTCGGGATGTATGGAAATAAAGATGTCGGTCCGATCGCCCTGTCGCCCCATGCCGTGAATGACGCTGTAGGGTAGCCGCTGGCTCTCTAGTCCTTGGGTGTAAGGGGTCTTTGGTGTCTTTGGTGTCTCGACAGCCGCCTTTCCTTTAGCCTTGGGAGTTTTCTGACTCGGTGTGGGCGTCGTCTGAGAGACGGACTCGTCGTTGGTTTCCCTGCTCGCTGTCTTAAGAACACTGGAGCCACTGTCGTGTGTAGGCTCTGGTGAAGACGTGATGACCTCCACGGTCTCTCTACGGTCCGAATCATCGCGCGACAATTTGGGAAACACAAACGGCTTCGATAGAACCACTGTCGCGTCCTCCTCATCCTCTTCGTCATCATCCTCTTTGGCGGCTGGGGCGACGTTTTCCTTATCAGAGTCGCCTTCCTCCGCAGGAGACGCTTCTTTGGATGCTACTTCCTCCTCGGATGAAGCAAGAACCTGGTCCATCTGAAATTGTGTGTCTTCGCCGACGGCCTCGTACCCCTCAGCTTCCTCATCCAGGATTTCAAGATCATCGAATTCATCCTCAGAATCTGCAATCTCGACCAGAGGTGACCTTTGTGGCCTGCGAGGGGATGGGCTGACTTCACGCTCTCCCTCCACTTCCTCATCTTCTTCCATGGGAGCTAGACTGGCTGTAGGATGGGGCGTGATGAAGCGAACATTTTTGGTGGGCTGCAGTGGCATTTTGCTGGGAGATACTATTTGGCTCGAGCTCTGGCTACCGGTCGTCGCATAAGAATCCTGGACTGTCAGAGTTCGTGGCCGTTTGACGGATGCTGTGGGCTTCGGGATCGGTGACATTGTGTTTGTGGACTTGTCTTTCAAGGGAGACCTTTTTGGCGCCGGGCTGTACCTAGCCAGCATCGGGGTAAGCGGGCTGCCTATAGACGATGGAATCTCATAAATAACGCGTTTATTTGTTGGCGTCTGCGGAACGACGGAGGGTGTCCTGCTGGGCGGTTTGCTCGACTGCTTCTTGCCAGGCACTTGGTTCTCCTTGTCGTTGCCGGAGGGCAGCACCGGTTGGTCCTTTTCGACCTCATCCTCCGAGGGCTGGAATTGCCATACGTCCTCCTCCTCTTCCTCTTCTGCCGTGGATTTCTCGGATGATCTTCGCGACATCTGCGTCAACGTTTGCGTGTGAAAGGATGAGCTTGGCGTCGGTTCGTCTCCCATGGTCTTTCTCCTTCTCTTCCTAGGCTTGGCCTCCTCCTCTTCGTCGGATAGATCAAGGCGCAAGGGCGACGAGCGCGTGGTCTCAAACATCTGGGTCAAGGTTTTTTGCTGGTGGTTGGCAATTCGAGCGGTTGGTTTACGAGCGCTATACGTTCGAACTTCAGTTCGTCGATGCGGAAACTTTGCCTGCTTTGCCGGCTTGCTAGACTTATAGACTCGATCGGGAGATGGATTGGCGGCGGCGGGAGTCCGGCCGCTGGAGCGAGTTTGTGGTGGCATCTTGGATAATGGTGTAAACCGTCACCGCAAGGCTTGAGCTTGATCGCTTCCAGAGCGCGCAGATCGTTGATATCAGCAATTGTGTGCAACGTTGACTCAGACGCAAAGGCAGAGTGTCAGCGCAATTCCTCGGAGACTAGACCTCGTTCAGTCCAAAGGGCGCGTCGCGTACTCGAGTGTGGGATTGATTTACGCGTGTAGTGGCGTGTGGGACGTGGTGACATCACATGCATGTAACGGGGCGGCGGGGAAATACGTGGGTGCTAGATAGTGCCTCCTTTTGCTGGGTAACTGCATTATATAGTCTCTGTTCCTCTCTCCTATTGGCCTTTCACTCAACTCATTCAACTTACAATTCTGAACATGCGCAAGGCACATACTGAACGTAAGGCAAGGTAGATAAGGTAAGCTATCTCATGAAACTTCAATTTGTGTGATCCACAATCAAGCACGCAATTGAATCGTTTGAAATCATTTCATTACAGTATGAACAGTTACGGTTAATCAAGCCTCCTGTATCTCTCAGAACCCACTCAAGCAAGCTGGTTATTCGCGTTGATAATACCAGCCTTAGGTTGGGTGGACTGCGTGACAGCAGCCTTGATCGTCGCTGAGGTCTGATCAGGGTCAAGCTTGCAGTTGTACCGCTGCATGATCGCGAAGACTACTATCTATCCATACCCAAAAGCCCACTCGATAGCCGTTCTAATGGTCTGTTCACTGTAGTAATGGTGACAGCAGTTGTAGCAGTGGTGGTTGTAGTTGTTTGAACGTTGGTGGAAAGAGGTGAGATTATAAGGCGGCATGGGGCAATTCAAACAGCTCATCTACCTGCTTATACTTCGGAGGAATCGGTGGGCCTCGCCAATTCCTTCTGTCCTCAGTACTCAGATATACGCAGTTCATCATACGCTTGTTGAGCTTCATGCCGGCCGAAAGGCTATGCCCTGCTGATGTCTATACCAGCAGTAGTAGTGGAAGCAGTAGTGCCAGTTGTGGTAGAAGTGCTCCAAGTGTTTCCAACACATGACTTGCTCCTTGAAGATGTTCTTGATGAATACCACCCGGCGTGAGAAAGATTCCTTCCCGCGAATTCAAGGGAGGTCGACGACGCAATGGAGCTGACAGAAGTGCCGGGCTCTTTCGGCCGTTAGGCTCTTGCTCCGGACACACTGATGCCTTGGCACTCGAGTGTTGATGATCGGAGGAGATGGCCGACTTGGCTTCTTTGAGGTGACGATTGTCGAGATTGGTATTTTCTCTGTCGGATATTGTTCATGAGCCTCCGAGACATGGTAGAGTATGCTTCGAGCGGGAAGGTCTTCTGTTGTTTAGAGGATGTGAATCCCTTCCTTAGGGTCAATGTCGTGTCTCAGAGTTCAAGATCCTATGGGCATGACATCGACCCTTTGTGAGTCCTTGAGAACCCATCTCACAGCTCTTCAACGAATTGAAGAGATTGTGAGGCCCGTTGACTGTACTAAGAGCAGGCCGTCGTTGTGTACGTGTGACTTGTTTGGTGGCTCTGAGAGAGAGCAGACTGTTCATCTAGAGCTTCTTCCCGGTGATACGGTGAAGAAAGCGCCTCAGCCTAGACTTGGACTTCGTGGAAGTGTCGTTTGAGGCGAGAGAGACTGAAGACGATGATGTAGTAGCGCAGGTCTGCTGCTTGCAGTATCCCTCAATGTAGCCATTGATATGGTCCTCAAGATCAACGTCGCAAGATGCGAGGTCGAGGACATGGGCTTGGTGGTATTGCATCTTGGCCTTGTATCTCAACTCCTCCAGCATGTCCGCAGACAAGAGCTGGGACCTGGAAACGGCAAATACAAACATCCTGGCTGTAGTGTGGAGTGAAGTTTGAGGAGAGAAGTAGTTGGTATGGAGAGCGTGATGTCTTCGGAGTATTCAGTGACAGGTGATGAGCAGAGATATTGAGTCTGAGATGAGTGACGAGGACGTAGGAACCAGGGACCATTGACGACTTTGTAGCAGACCAGTTGCCCTTATATATGATGAGGAAATGAAATACAACCAACGTCAGGTGCAACACTGGGTTGGCCTTAGAAGTTGGGTTGATAGTTTGGGTTGATAGTTTGGGTGGCACTCGGGGGGTTTCTCCGTTACCATGGGACATGTCTGGTACCCTCGCGGTTCAAGGCAACAAGCCGTTAAAAGTGCTGGTATCGAGCCATGATACTTTCCCTTATAACCTCCTCGACAACAAGTAGCCATGTCCTTTACTTACGCACGTAGTCACATCATGGCTCACTCTGGACTTCCCTCGCTGGATTGGGTTTGAAATCGTGAATTAGGCACCTGATCATGCTTCACTGTAACCTGAAAACATACTCGATGCCATTTCGGTCGAAGACGCGTTCTGAGCACTGGTTTACAGCCAACGTAACGTAGGCGGAAGAGGGTGACACAGTCAGTACCAAGTCCAAATTGGTCGACCTTGGAAGATCAGTCTTATGCTCGAAATTGGGTCCCTTTTGAATCAAGGCTTTTAGTCCGTTTTCTGAGACTTCTCCAGGACCATGGGACTCGAAAACCGTTAAAATTTCGGGAGGCGTTCTAGTCACTGGCGCAGAGCCAGCAAGGCCCACGCTCCTCACCAGCATTTCAGTGCAGCCACATAAGGTTCAAGTAAATAATGGGACGCAGAATGGTTGTACAACAAAGAAGATTCTAGAGTCAGTTATATACACGTCAGAATCTTCTGATCTATTTCTTCGGCTCCTCCTTCTTCTCCTCTGGCTTCGGCGTAGGCAGCTTGAAGGTGTCGGGGCGTCTGTCCGTGCCAGGTCCAACTCCCTCCCAGGCACTTGAGCCGCCCTCGAAGTTGCGGAAGGCCTGGGTAAGCTCAAGGGGCTCGGTCACGATGCGCTTCTTCTCCTCGTCGTATCTGACCTCAGTGTAGCCAGTAAGAGGGAAGTCCTTTCGCAGGGGGTGACCCTCGAAACCGTAGTCGGTCATGATTCTGCGCAGATCGGGGTGGTCGGCGAAGAAGACGCCGAAAAGATCGTAGACCTCACGCTCGTACCAGTTGGCTCCATCGAAGAGGGAAGTGACACTGGGAACGGGGGACGCCTCGTCGGCGTAGGTCTTGACGCGGATGCGCGAGTTGTGGCGGACACTGAGAAGGTTGTAGATGACCTCGAATCGCTGGTCTCTGGTCGGGTAGTCGACGGCAGTGATGTCGCTAATCTGGGTGTACTCGGCCGAAGTGTTGTCTACGTATTGTTAGATGAGAGTGACGCTATATCGTGGATCAATTGACACTTACACTTGAGGAAGGTGAAGACGGGAATGATTCCCGAGGGAGAGACGTAGATGGTGAGCTCGTCCTTCCAGACGGAGATCTGCTGGACGTACTTGGGCAAGCAGCCCATGATCCAAGAGCCGTATTTGTGGAGGTTATCGGCCTTGGAGCCGTACTTGTCGGCAGGGTTGATGAGAGGAGCCTTGAGGGTGCCAATGTGCTCGCGAGGAGACTTCCTCAGGTTTTCGGCATCCTTGGGATAGCCGGTCGGGAAGCCGGCCAATTGAGGGATTGAGGTTGAGAAAGATCGGATCTCGCTGGGGCGGCAGTTGCGCAAGCCCGCCAGAGCTCTACTACGATAGAGCTTCGTTGCCATTGTTGCGATTGTTGCAGTGCTGGGGGGCTTGTTGCCTCTGGGGAAGTTGATTGATGATGCTGTGCATTCGCGATGCTTGGGGATTGAAAGAAGCTAACCGGCGGTAGGTCCACCCCCAGGGTGGTACTTTTGACACTCGATGCGGACCTGAAGGTGCCGGCAAACTGGCTGGACGAGGTGCTCACAACCTCTGTGTCTTGACGATTGAAAACTTTGCAGCAAATTCAATAGGACTCAAAGTTTTGGGTAAAATACAATTGCCAATATTGAGCACCTTCTTGAAATTTGTGATTTCCTTTCAAAAATCCAAGCAACCGCACCTGCCGTTACTCAGGAGCGTTCTTTCCTTCACGATTGCCCAAGCGACTGGGAGGGGTGGATCTAAATTCTGCTGACTTGCAATATTCTCGGTCCCTTGATTGGCTTGTCATCGGCGTCCAGCACGTGACGGCAACCAGTGGGTCCATCTTACCTAAGGCACCACGCTCTAGTGCAGCAGACGACCCATCCGAGAAAGGCTTTGGCTTCACCTCTGTCTGGTATTGAACAACTTCCCTCTCCTAACCACCTCCACTCACAAATCGAAACCCAACCTTCCCGCAACCCCACGAAATATACCTACTGCCACAGATCGTCGCCATGGCACCCCAAGACACATTCATCGACGAGGAGGATGATACATGGTATGATACCTTATTTCTGACCTCGCGCGCATCTTGCTTGCGTGCAACCCATGCGTGAGACCTTGAGGTGTTGGGCATCGTGAACTGACTCTCTCCACTACAGCCCGTTATGTATCGAGGAGTTCGACCTCTCAGATCGGAATTTCCGACCATGCCCTTGCGGCTACCAGGTACGGCGACAGCGACTTCCATGTTCCATCGTTCCTGCCTCGGACGAAGAACCTCGACCTCTAACAGTTTCATAGGTGTGCCAGTTCTGCTTCAACAATATCAAAAACAACATGAACGGCCTGTGTCCTGCATGCCGAAGACCTTACGACGAGAAGACAATCCAGTGGAAGGTTGTCACTACGGAAGAGTGCGTACCCCTCCTACCACCTTGGTCGACGCCACACTGACAAACACTAGGGTCGCCGAGTTCCGAGCAAACATCCAGAAGAACCAGAAGAAGCGAGCTGTGGAACAAAAGCAGAAGGAGGTTCAGAAGCGCGAGGTTGAGAAGGAAAACCGCAAAAACCTCATCGGCGTCCGGGTCGTTCAGAAGAACCTGGTTTACGTGACCGGTCTGACACCTACAGTGCGAGAGGACGAACTACTCAAGACACTTCGCAAGCCCGAATTCTTCGGTCAATACGGCAACATCCTGAAAATCTCGATTAGTAGTCGGAAGAGCCAGGACGGCCAACACCAATCTCTCGGAATTTATGTGACTTTCGAGAAGAAGGAAGACGCCCAACGTTGCATCCAAGCTGTCAACGGTTCTCAGAATGGCGACCGCGTTCTCAGAGCCCAGCTCGGTACCACCAAGTACTGCTCGGCCTGGCTGCGGCATGAGCAGTGCACCAACAGGCAGTGCATGTTCTTGCATGAGCTGGGTGACGAGGAGGACAGCTACACTAGACAGGATCTATCCTCGATGAATAGCATAAGCTCTCAGCGGCCCCTCCCTGGGGGTGGTTCCTCGAGCAGCGGTGGCGGACCATCTCGCACCGCTTCTCGACAACAGAATACCGCACCGCCTGCGGCTCCCGCTTCTCAACCCATGGCACGATCGTCAAGCAAGGACGGCTCCGAGAATGGCGGCGACGGACCAGCTCTGCCTGCCTCTGCCAACTGGGCAAGAAATCCTCAGCGCAGCCGCAGGGGAAGCCACGCCACTAGTGGCGCCGCTTCAAGCCCTGCAATCTCGACAGCCCTCCCCGTCACCACCGAGGCAGTACCCGAGGCCATCGACGAGACCCCCTCGAGAAAGGAAACCCCCGCACCTCCGACCGAGACCAAGGCCCCGAAGCCGACTGCTCCTGCTGACAACCGAAAGTCCAACAGCCTTCCGGAGAATCTTCTTAGACAGCTGCTCAAGGCTATGCAGGGCTGCCCTTTCTCATACAATGCGCCGGATACGAACCAGATCGAGACCATTTACCCTCCCATGTTCGACACCCGCGGAGGCGAGAAGAGAAGAGCCATGCGCGAAGAAGAGGAGTCGCGCCTCGGCGTGGACCAGGAGCAACAATCCGAACCTCAAGAGGCCTCGGAAGGCGAGCCGGAGACTGGGGGCAGTCTGGCGCTCGGTGGCGAGCCCGAAGACCGAGATGTTGCGCGCGACGTCGTCTTCGAGCAGCGTAGACCCGGCACTCAGCCTCCCATCCAGCGCAACAACAACGACGGCCCTTTCGGTCCCGCACTTGGCTCTGGATTTGGTCAAGCTTCCGTCTCTGCTAGTTCTGTTGGTGGCAGCCGATCCATGACGCCTCAACAACAGCTCTTCGTTCGATCTCAGAGCGGCTTCGGCGATCACTTGCCTCCTGGGATCCCAACTGCGCAGCCATCTGCGGTTCAGCAACAAGGTGGCGGCCACAACAGACAAGGATCTAGGTTCAGCTTTGCTAATGACACCGCCGGCACTTCAGCTTCAGTCAAGGTTGCCGCCAACCCAAGAATCATGGCCCAGCAGACGGCCATGATGCCTTCCGCTTTCCACTCGCAGCCAGGCAGCCAGTATTATGCATCCTCCATGCCCGGACCTCCTCCAGGTCTCAAGTCGACAGGAACTCCGCCAAACATGTTTGGACAGGGCCAGTTCGGTGGCGCCTTCGGTGCGACTTCCAAGGATTCCGCCGAGCTTCTCCAGACGTTGATTCGGGGTCGGGGAACCAATGGACAGGGTCATGATGCTGGTAAGCGTGAGTACATGTTATCTTCTTTCTCTAATCAGTACCCATCCTCTACCTCCTCCACCCCAGCTCCTGCTTCGGGCCTCCTGGCGTCGCTCTACGGTAACCAGCCTGGAGCATTCCAAGACTTCGGTCCCAAGCAGAAGAAGAAGGGGAAGAAGCACAGACATGCTAACACTTCCTCCTCTGGAGGAGGTGGTCTAGTTGATCTTGCGGACCCGAGTATCCTGCAAGCGAGAATGCAACACCAGTCGCAGAGCAATGCCGGAGTCGGACAGGGACTGTTCGGTGGACAGAGCCAAGGTGGGTACAACCCGAACATGATGTACAATACGCGT